ATTAATACGGATATAGATGGAAAGGTTTAAAAAGAATAAAGTACTGTAGATTGTAGATAAAAAAGTTGTCAAGATTAAGAATCATTGTTACTTACAAGTATGCATTATCAACTATGTACATGGCTATTTCTGATTCCAGGATGCCCCTTGAACTAATTGCTTTGGAGTTTTCAACCCAGAGGCGGCGTTAAACATAATGGTCTTATCAGAAAGTGACAAATCACCATTTCTCATTAACTCATCCTTGATGAAGTTAGCACGTTTTAAGCTTGAAGCATCTTTAAAGTCCGCAGGGTCAAATTTGAGGTCTTCCCATTTCCCACGGACCACTTCATTGATTCTCTTGCTCAAAGTTTCAGGATCGATATCTAGAGTAAAGTTTTTTTGCAATAAAAACCTATTTTTTGGTACATCGTCAAGGCGGTCAATTAAAGTTCGTGGCACTTGGTAAGGATAATTGGAAGAAATTAATGTTTCTTTTGTGACTGATGCAACTCTTGAGCTTAAACATGAGTTCAAGGTAGTTATTTTGCCATAAGTAAAGGTACTTGCATTTAAAACTGGCTTTAAAGGTTCGGCCCTTATGGTCTTATTGGTAAACTGCTGGGTCCTCGCGATACCACTTCCTTGATTGTCGTTTCTGGATGCCCTTGTATCTCTTCGAGGAAAAGGTTTCCTATTATTTTTATTAGGTGCCTTGCTAGGTGCTCCATCTTTTCTTGGGCCCTTACCATCAGCATTTCTTTGTCTCCTTGGACGTCTGACATCCTTTTCTTGTTTGAAAGAGTTCGTAAACAATGGATGGTCGCTTACCTTGATCTTTTCACCAGAAGATACCTTACGCGAAGCTGCATCTCTTGGCTGCTTGTTCTGATTTCTCTTAAGCTCTTGTTTCTGCCCAATGTTGCCAGCAGACTTGGTTTCCTTCAATGTCTTCGACTTGGCACTAATCCTGTCGATTCTATTCAACAAGTCCGATAAGAACGGAGTGTCTCTAGGTTTTGTTGAGTATAGGCGATACGCCGTTCTCAGTATACTCCTGACAGAAACATACATTACTGAACGCTCTCTTCTTCAAGTTAGATGAGGCCAATATTTGATGTAGAAATTGTCCGACGAGAATCGAGACAAAAATTACACGCCGCACTTTCTCTCTTGGGTCAGACTGGAAATTTTATAACTACCGACAAATTTCTCGCTAACCTCCGCGAGCGTCATGGCTGCTGCGAGCAGCTACTTATTAGTCGGGTCTAGTAAATGTCCATTCGCCCTCAAACTCACGGCCCGATTACCTGAACCAGACACTCAGACATTTTATAGAAAAGCATATAAATAATCTTACTCAAGTTAAACACCCCCATTATCCACAGAACAAAGCTCACCCGCCATTTTGTCTGCGCTAGTGCTCTCTATGGCTGCGTCGCCCTTATTCCCTGCAACCTCTGAACCTTAAGGCCGCGCACACCCCCATTATTGAAACCTGCACATAAGCACGGATACTTACCCGACGCCGAGCGTGCTAACGGCCAATGAACATTGAGTTTCTTCCATACAGACACCATCCGGAGCCCGTTGAAAAATTCAGAATTTGGTTGGTTAGTTTTGTTCATATTCAACAAAATCCAGTGGTTGTTGAAAAAATCAAATTGTTTGATTACGGATTAAGGTTTTTCTCTTTTTAAGCCAAACAACCTAAGAGTTTGAAGAACTAGAGAATACATCTTTAAAGACTAGCGAAAAGGTTACAATGTTGTCAGCTCGTCCAGTTTTACGTACTGCCGCCCGTTCAGCAGTTGCTGCCGGCAGATCACTCAGAGTTGTAAGTATATCGAATTGAACTTTCAAATATATGAATAGATAATGGAGACAAATAGATGAGGAATGTGGCTCTACACTAGTCAATTGGTTGAATATATCAGTAACTAAAGGGCTTGAAAGACAAAGATGGGCCCTGTCGCCGAGAATTGTACACGTTACTTGCCTGCTTCTTCAACTTGCAATTGAGACAAGTTATGTCTCGCTCTTAGACTTCCATTATACCTTGTAATTACAAACCGGTCATACTAACTCATTCTTTAGGCTAGAACAGCTCCAGTTGCACGCCGTTATGCTTCTGCCAAGGCCGCACCAACCGAAGTCTCTTCAATTTTGGAAGAGAGAATCAGAGGTGTTTCTGACGAAGCAAACTTAAATGAAACCGGTAGAGTTTTATCAGTTGGGTAAGTATTTATTTTGAATAAGACTTTGTCTGTTGAAGGTTGAAAAAATTTTCGACTGGGGCAATGAAGGTTAGAGGATCAAATAGTGCCTCTTACAATTTTATTAAGCATTGTACTAACTTATATCTTAGTGATGGTATCGCTCGTGTTTTCGGTTTAAACAATATCGGAGCTGAAGAATTGGTTGAATTCTCTTCAGGTGTCAAAGGTATGGCCTTGAACTTGGATGCTGACCAAGTCGGTATTGTGTTATTTGGTTCAGACAGATTGGTCAAGGAAGGTGAAACCGTCAAGAGAACTGGTAAGATTGTCGAAGTTCCAACTGGTCCAGAATTATTGGGTAGAGTTGTTGATGGTTTAGGTAACCCAATTGATGGTAAGGGTCCATTGAATGCATCTCACTCCTCGAGAGCTCAAGTTAAAGCTCCAGGTATCTTACCAAGAAGATCTGTTTACGAACCAATGCAAACTGGTTTGAAGGCAGTTGACGCTTTAGTCCCAATTGGTAGAGGTCAAAGAGAATTGATCATTGGTGATCGTCAAACTGGTAAGACCGCTGTTGCTTTAGATGCCATCTTAAACCAAAAGAGATGGAATAACGGTAGCGACGAGAAGAAGAAGTTGTACTGTGTTTACGTTGCTGTTGGTCAAAAGAGATCTACTGTTGCTCAATTAGTGCAAACTTTAGAACAAAACGATTCATTGAAATACTCTATCGTTGTTGCTGCTACTGCATCCGAAGCTGCTCCTTTGCAATATATTGCTCCTTTCACTGCTACTGCTATTGGTGAATGGTTCAGAGATAATGGAAAACACGCTTTGATTGTTTTCGATGATTTGTCTAAGCAAGCTGTTGCTTACCGTCAATTGTCATTGTTATTGAGACGTCCACCAGGAAGAGAAGCTTACCCTGGTGATGTTTTCTACTTGCACTCTAGATTGTTAGAAAGAGCTGCTAAGATGTCTGATGCTTTAGGTGGTGGTTCTTTGACCGCTTTGCCAATCATTGAAACCCAAGGTGGTGATGTCTCAGCTTATATTCCAACTAACGTTATTTCTATTACTGATGGTCAAATTTTCTTGGAAGCTGAATTGTTCTACAAGGGTATTAGACCAGCTATCAATGTTGGTTTGTCTGTCTCTCGTGTCGGTTCTGCTGCTCAAGTCAAGGCCATGAAGCAAGTTGCTGGTTCCATGAAGTTGTTCTTGGCTCAATACAGAGAAGTCGCTGCTTTCGCTCAATTCGGTTCCGATTTGGATGCTTCAACTAAGCAAACTTTGAACAGAGGTGAAAGATTGACCCAATTATTGAAACAGAACCAATACTCTCCACAAGCTGCTGAGGAACAAGTTCCAGTTATCTACGCTGGTGTTAACGGTTTCTTGGATTCTGTTCCTGTTGAAAGAGTCGGTGAATTCGAAGAAGGATTTTTGTCCAGCTTGAAATCCAATCAACCAGAAATTTTGGATGCCATCAGAGACAAGGGTGAATTATCTAAAGAATTATTAGACAAGTTGAAATCTGCTACTGAATCCTTCGTCGCAAGCTTCTAATTTGTTTAAAGCTATTAGACCTGTTTGGAGTTTCGATAGTGTACTTGCTTTTTTTCAGAGAAGTCAAGTACTCTTTAGATTTTCATTGGCATTTTTCTGAATAAAAAAAGCTATTTTTTTTTATGAATTAAGAAGGAAAAAGAATACTATTTTATATTTGAATACATATATTCTCGTTTATTCGATGTAATTTTGAATTTGATCTCTAAAACATGGCCCAATTGATATGGTTGACTCTGTATCCTCCTAACGGTTTTGCCAGGTTGTTAGCGACAGAAACAATACGTTAAGTTCGGCATTGTAGAGGGCTGTCCAAAGAATTGAGGGTTCTTCAGTAGGTTTTGATATCGCGATATCAAATTCGTCATTTTAATACGCAAACTTCCTTAAGAAAGATACTATTCTCAAAACAATGAAACAATGGAAGATAAGGAGCCAGAAGACATACTCCAAACTGATCTCCAATTTGAGATCGATCTTGAATATTTGTTAAATAGATTAGATGCATCTAAATCAGACATATCCGCAGGGATTGATTGCAATGTTATATGTGAAGATAACTCAAAAAGACGAAAAAAGAAGACACGGAAGCTCAAAAGCAGGCAAATGACGGATCTCATAGCAGAAGTTATAGGGGATTTGGATGATATATGCCTCTCTAGTGGTGAGGATGAATCTCTTGAAAGTGGTTACTCTACTTCAACTGGGAACAGTTCAATGCTCGATTCAAGTCAAGAACACAAGTCGTCGACAGATAGCATTGCACGGGAACATAGAGAGAGTGCTACGAAGAAGAGCTCTAGGCTGAACAAAAGATCAAAAACAAAAAAGGAAACAAATAACTCAGAGGCAAGTACTCACGCTTATGGAAAAGAGAAAGGTCAACAAAACACTGGGAGCGATCCAGGCGTTACAAGTTCGCATAACATAGCTGAGAGAACATCTAGTGAGGTTGCTATAGCGAAGAGAAAGAAGCTGAACGTCAAACGGTTAGAGCGAAGACGGAAGGCTGCACATTTGAAAAAGTCAAATAGAATAGAGGAGAGCAACAATTCCCCAGGCATTCACCCAGAAGTCAAGAGAGAATTTAGTGATTCAAGCAACTTGGAGCCAAATAGTGAAACGGCAACTTTACTAATTAAGAAAGGCTCGAAAGGAACCGTTTACAAGGGCAAGAAATCCAGACAAGCTGAGAAACTGTATATGAAGAGACTTGATGTCGACTCTCCGAAAGAGTATTCTAATGTCATCAAGTAACTGCATTCTGCCAATACTATTATGGCGAGGTGAAACCCTTCACTGATACTTTTCAGTTCGACAGCCCCTCATTTATCCAAATATATCGATAGTCGGTCATTGGTTTTCTTGTAATATAGAGCCGTTCTCCTTGATTACTCATTTTGATAGCCTTATTGTCTGAACATTTGCGGTTTACGATATGCGATATATAAACCTCAATGGGCTGCCGTATCTCAGGAGGCAAGCTAAGAGGGCTCGATGTCTTTTGAAATCCTTGTTTTACGTAAGAGCTGGTTTTACACAGAGAATAGTTGACACATAAACCACCCTCTACGAGGAGTGTTAAATAAGGCATCAGGTCTTGAGATCTGAAAGAATCGCCAAAGATTTATGTCTGAGCTTGGATCTTGCATCTTCGGAAGAGTTCAGTTTTCTTTTACTTCTAGGACCGACGGATAAATTTGAATCACTTAAAAATGATGGGTTTGTAAGAGACTTCAGAGAAAAAGCTAAAAGCTTAGAACAAGCGATGAATTGCAATATACCCCCCAGAATATGTCCACCTTTTTTATCTAAAAGCAATTCCGACGTTAAATGGACAGTGGCAGACGATGACTACGAATTGACTGAAGATATAATATACCGCATCCTCAGCACTATGGGACTTAAGAGTAATCCTCCAGACAATAACAATATTGAAAATGGTGGACAGCTAAAAATAATGCTGTTAAGGAGATCGAAATAACTGTACTCATGTCTTTTTGTAGACATTCAGCTTCTGGATTAGTCGATTTAATCTTTCAAGAAACGTATTTCGAGAAGCTTGAGGAGCCTTGACAAATTAGACCCAAAGGTTACAAAACAGAGAAGCTAATTGTAAACGTAGACTGTGTCAAGGAACAGCGTCTCGTAGCTTATTACGTATCGAGATTCACTTTCGAGCTTACAAACAAGGAATACCAGTTGACGTACTGCACGACGGAACCGTTAATTGCAATGATGTTCCCAGTCATATATTAGATATAAGGGCTTATAAGGACTTTCACATTACTTATTTAAAAAAAACTTTTGTTTAAGACATAATTTATATAGGTTGTTCATTTTTAAAGAGAATAGTCGAGTTTTGATGTTTGATACATGTGACTAAGAAATTGTATGCGAATGGACGTTATATCAGTTCTTCAGGAGAGTATTCACGTATCTCCCGGTAATTGCATCTATCAAGTATGGCGTAGCAATGGACTCTCTCTTGCAAATTCAGGGCCAGATCACTATATATGCAGGAAATGTAACGTTACCAAGTAGATCTCGAGCTTTGTGTAATTTTTGGCGGCTCTCTACTCTGAGTCATCAGATAACGTTAGCCTGTTCATTCTTGACGATATTTAAACCTCCAATAGGTTCTTGCATCTCATGGCATAAGTCTTTATTGATAATGTCTTTTGAGATCCTTGTTTTACGTAAAAATTGGTTTTACACGGAGAAAAGTCGAGAAACATCCCATCCGTTAGTTGGATTGTTGAATAAGGCATATGCCAAAGTGAAATACAAGTATCAGATCTTGAAATCGGATAGAGTTCCCAAGGATTTATGTCTGGCCTTCGATGTTGCATCTGCGGAAGAGTTCAGCTTTCTTTTACTTCTAGGGCCGACTGATAAATTTGATTTACTTAAAAACAATGGGATTATTAGAGATTTTTCAGAAAGAGCTAAAAACTTCGAAGAAGCGAATGATTGTGATATACCCCCTGAGTATGTCCACCTTTTTGATCTAAAAAGCAATTCTGATGTTAAATGGACAGTGGCAGACGATGACTACGAATTCACTGATGATGTAATATACCGCGTCCTCAGCACTGTGGGAGTTAAGAGTGGATCGCCCGACGAAAACAATAAGACTTCTAAGGGTGATACGTCCAAAGACAAATCTCCACCTAAGGTTAATGCTGTTAAGGAGATCTACATTACGGCGTTCACGTCGTTTTGTAAAAACACCGCATCTAAATTCCTAGATTTAATCCTCCAAGAGATATTCTTTGAAAAGCTTGCTGAGTCTTTGGAAAATAGACCCCAAACTCTTAAAAAAGAGAAGCTAATTGTGCATGCAGATTGTGTCAAGGAACACTGTCTCGTAGATTATTATGTTTCGAAATTGAATTTCGAGCTTGCAAACAAGGAATACTACTTCGACATAATGAAAGATGGAACTATTCACAGCGATGCCCTTCCGGATCATATGTTGGAAATAAAGGCTTATAGAGACTTTCACATTACTTTTTTGAAAAGAACTGTTTTATTTAAGACATAATTCATATTAGCTTATTCATATTTAATTAGAAGATCGCCCTTTGGTGTTGACTACAAATGACAATCGTGCCTGGATAGTTATTTGCTATATCCGTTCGTAGATAGCCAATTTGTAACATTTTGACGGTCTCTAGATGCCCAGTTAGATTTTGTGGTGATCATCTCCAATGCTTGAGCCAAACTTTGGTTGAAACCCTTCTTGTCTTTTCCAGAGAAGAAATTTTCAACTTCACTCTTTTGTGATGCTTTAGTAAAGCCAGCAACACAAATCTTAACTATAATGCCTAACATTGGTAAACTAGGGGGGAAGGTTTCAACAATAGTCAGCCAGTTTTCCTTTAACCATTTCCAAATTCTTTCAATACCCAATTTATGAGACATAAAGCCAACTAAAGGACCATAAACATCCTGGGATTTAATCACCTTGGTATCTAACAAAAGAGCAATTACTTTTTCAATAACATCAGGTTGTCTGAATTTACCTAAAGTCCTCAAGGCAGACATCTTCTCTTCCACAGAATCCGGATTTTTATAAATGTTCAATATCTTTTCGAAATCCAGATTATCACCATACTTGGCAACACAAGAAAAAATGGCCGGTCTTAAGTCTGCTTTTAGGGCTTTCTTATCACCATTGACGTAAGCGTCAAAGGACTTCCTCGAATACTCGATAGCGCCCTTATGACCAGCACTTACTGCCGTTCCAAATAATGAAGATTTGAGCTGTTTTTCAGAGAAAGAATCACTCTCCTGAATATCCCAGCCGATTTCATTCAAATTTTTGCTAATTAAGTCTAACGCAAATAAATTCAATGCTGTAGTAACACTTTCTTCTTCAAAACGCATGACAGCTTTTAAAGAATTGATCTTACCTAAAATCTGATCCCAAACAACGTAACTTGTTTCGCTTGACCACAGTTTTATCAAATTTAATAGATCGACAGTTTGAATCAAACCACAAGAAGCTAAAGACCCAGCATCAGCGACTAATCCAGTACGATCTTCGATGGATAATTTACCAGTTAAACCTGCTTTGCCCAACTTCGCCCAACGAGATGGTTCATATACAGTTCTATATATACCCACCAGGTCCCCGTTAATTTTAAAAAAGTCATCCTTCACATCCAATTTAAAAGATTTTGTTCTGGAATCTAACACAAGAGATTCGTCAGTTCCTTGACTCGTCTTCAAACCCAAAAATACAGGATACAAAACTTTATCTTCTTCTGGTTTAACGTCGTTGGTTGCTAAGAATCTATTCTGAGATACCTTCAATTCTCCTTTCTCTTCTTCAACTTTGATTACCGGAAATCCCACGTTCTTAGTCCAAATATCCATTACTTTGACAACATCTTTGCCGCTCTGTTCACTCAAAGCTTCCCATAAATCGCTGGTTCGAGTATTTCCCCATTTATGCCTTTGTAAATACTTAGCGACACCCTTTATGAAGACTTCCTCGCCTAACCACCTAGACACCATTTTCAAAACAGCTGAACCTTTGCTATAGGATATAGCATCAAATATTTGATTAATCTCGTCAACTTTTTTGACAGGAACTTCGATGGGATGTGAAGATCTCAAAGAATCTAAAGACAAAGCAGATTGCAAGGTATCAGATACATAGCTCTCCCATACATTCCACTCTGGATAGAGTGCATTACAGGCATACCAAGACATCCATGTCGCAAAACCTTCATTCAACCACAAACCATCCCAAAAATCCATAGTAACTAAGTTTCCAAACCATTGATGTGCCAACTCATGCATAACAACTTCAGTTACTCTATGTTTAGTATTAATGTTGGCATTAGAAGGATCTAAGAGGAGATCAGCAGTACGATATGTGATTAAGCCGAAATTCTCCATGGCACCTGACGCAAAGTCATGGATTGCAACCATATCACACTTTGGCAATGGATAAGGGATATCGAACTTGGATTCAAAAAAGGCCAACGTCTTTGCTCCAATGTCAGCAGCATATTGTCCTAATTTTTCAGAACCTGGAGTAGAATACACTTTGATAGGAACTCTAAAATCATTATTCTCAACATATTTCAAATCACCAACAATAAACGCTACCAAATAAGTAGACATCAATGGTGTAGTTTTAAAATCAACTCTCTTTTTATTGTCCCCTATTAGCGTAGTATCCTTTTCATCCATATTAGATAACGCTATCAACGACATATCTGCGATTAAAGAGATTGTGAACTTAGCTTTAGCTGATGGTTCATCATAACACGGAAATGCTCGGCGGCAGTCCGTAGCCTCCATTTGGGTGGTAGCTAAATACTTAGTCTTCCCATTTTCCTCATAACTAGATCTGTAGAACCCAGCCATTTTATCGTTTAGCTCACCAGTGTATTTGATATGAAGTTTAGCTTCTCTACCCTCTATCAAGTGATCCTCAAACCTAAAAGTGACCGTTTGTCTGTCTGTATCATATTCGATTCCATCAGCTGTAACATCGTTGACCTTGGCTTCATGGATTTCGATGTCAAGTAAGTTTAAAGTAATATAGTTAGTTCTTTCGTTAATTAGAAAGTCAATTGCTACTTGTCCATCAAACTTGAAGGTATCGAAATTTGGTTCCAACGTTAACTTGTAATGAAGAGGTTTGATATTAGAAGGTAATACTTCCCTATCCTGAGAGGCATCATTCAATGAAACTGCCGATGAATTAGAAGAGGTGTGCATGATACTCGGTTTTATTGAAGTAATGACAGCTTTAAATGAGTTCTTGTGAATAAGATGGAGCGGTACGGAAGATTCGTGGCAAATATCATCTATCCAGGTCGAGAATAGTTGTGTATATTCACTATTGGGACTAAATCAGCAATTAAGCTAAGAAGAGGTTTAAAAACGGATAAATTAAGCCGATAAGTCCTTTAAGAACTATGCCGATTCTATTATCATCAACAGTATAGTTAATTTGATTTATAAAGGAGGAAATTAAGAGAGCAGTTTTATAGTATGGCAACATAGTCGGTATATGGATTTTAATGGATATATCCGGGGGCTCCGCTCCTTATTCTGGATGAGCTGAGTGCTTAGAGGAAGTGATATTCTTCCTTGTAACTATGTCAGCTGGCAAGTTGTAGCCAACACCCTTAGTCAGAAGCACTAGGCAGAAGTGACGACGGGTTTCCTTGGTAAATGCTTGATATGAGATTCTAACATTCTCCGGAACGGCATATCTGAATGGGAGTGAATGGAACACGTTGTTTGAGCAATTGACCATCAACGAAGGTTCATTAGCGTAGACAGAACCTCTACGATATTCGTAGTATTACTTTCCACTTATCTATTGCTGCTCGATTCTAGTGAACATTGTGTGGACGTATGATACTATGTAGAGATGTATAAAAAGACCCGTAAAGGCAAAGGATATTTAGCCGAGTCAATTGGCTCCTGTTTTTCATTCTAGCCTAAGTAATTGAGTCATGCTGGACTTCATTATTTATTTAATGTGTATCTATCCTTTTCTCTAGCATATCTCCAGATTAGTTATTGTTTCATATTTTTTGCCCATTGAATCCACGGCAACTGCAATTTTTTCTGTTCTACCTTCATAATCTTTGGAATTGAGGGTTGTGTATAAATTAAAATGGCCCAGCTGCTCTTCTAGTAGACCGAATGTTAGATTTTAGGTCATATATAGTAATGTTTGACTAACAGGTTCTGTTTGGCTAATTTGCAGCTTAAAGTATTGAACGAGCTCAGATACAGTACTAAAAAAAAACTCATAACAAAAGCTTTATTCCTTTCCAATCCTTCAATAGTATAAGAATATCGATGAATGAACCTCTTGAGACTCTCTATATTAACAACTTAAACGAAAAGGTTTCGATTAACACATTAGAAAATGCATTACGTTCAAATTTCGAAAAATATGGAACTATTATTCAAATTACAGCTCACAAGAGCTTAAAGAGAAAGGGTCAAGCATTTATAACTTTTAACAATATAGAAGCATCTAAAGAGGCACTTACAAGATTGCAGGGCCATAAGCTATTTGATAAGGTATTGAAGATCGATTTTGCTAAATCTAATTCAGATAATTATTTCACAGACATTAAACAAGAATCTGTCGAATCTAGGAAGAGACAAAGAATAGAGAAGAGGGCTAAGGAAGATGAAAGACCGAAAAAGGTCGTCAAAATAAAAGACTGGCAGTCTTTACCATCTCATAACATTTTGCTTGCCCAAAACTTGAAGCCAGGTGCTAATATTGAAGACTTAAACGCATTCTTCGAAGAATTTCAAGGTTTCATTAACGCCAGATTTGTTAAAGTTCGAAACTTAGCTTTTATCGAATTCGACAATGAAAACTTGTCTACGGAGTGTTTAAAAGCTATCCAATCGAGTAAATTTGAAGAAATCTTCGGTGCAGAGGCAGTGATGACTTACGCTAAAAAATAATTAATCTCGTCAAACGTTTTCATTAAATGCATTTTCATAAAAAGCTACTTAGGTCTCCGAAATCTTTACTGAGAGCATTCGAAATTAGATCTCCATAATAAAATGTTTCTTCATCTTCCAGATTATCGAATATACCAACATTTTCGAAAGTGCCATTTTCTTGCCCTGTTTCTAAATTCACAGTTGATGTATTGTCTAAATTTGATTGATTTGGAATTATGGGCCCTTTCTTCATCGCCATCATTCGTAACCACACCTGATCGATATCTTCATTACTTCCGTAAGGGTATACGTTGATATTGGGATCAAATTTTTGATTTGGCAGGTGAATTTTCACATAATTGAATTTGGGATGTTTTTCTACCGAATCTTCGTAGCTTAATACACTTTCCACTCTTGAAGCAGCAGAGGCAGCATAGTCCCTAATCTCTGAAATGTGCTTCGGTGTGTATGAAAGGGGTTTCAAATTTTGGGGTGGCTTGAGTTTGAAGAAGCCTTCGCCTTGAATGAAGTTTGTTATATATCTGTGGGCTTTTGACATTCTCCAAGCACAGTAGTATCTGGACGAGATTCTTTCTAAAACTGTAACAAATACAGACATAGCTCTTCCTGTACTATCCGTCAATGCACAATAAAGGTCATATTTGTTCTTGTAATCTATATCTATATCAAGCAATTGTGAATGATCTGCCTGTAATTCCATAGTGTGTTGTGCAAACCTTGCTCTCAAATAGCATGCAAAATTGACCTGATTAGTACGTTGAAACACCATTTGTAGATCAGGATTCAAAATAAGTGCAAATTCCGCATACCTTCCTCTTAAAATTTCAAAAATATATGGTGAGAGTTCATTGCAAATAACGTAATATAATTTCTTCAAATAAAAAGAAGCATAATCTGGTTTCGTGGCCTCATAATGAAGAAACAAATGAAAATACAACACAACCAAAGAGCACTTAACTGCAAGAAAGAGGCGAGTCTTCGCTACCTCATAATATTTACTAGTATAAGGATCTGTGCTTGCACTTTCAATATTTGGATTACCCAAAACAAAAAGGTCTCTATGGGCAATGTATTCTATCTCGTCCATGATTTGAATTAACCCATTAATTCTTGCGGGTTCATTAACATTAAGTATCAACGCAGTTATTTTCTCATAAGAATTCAAGTTTTTTGCTAACCACGCAAAAGTATCAACAATAGCTTTCTCGTGTTCTATGTTACTGGTGTTACTGTTTCCTTTCTTCAAGAATGGCAACTTCGTATCATAATTATTAGGATTTATCGTCAATACATTCCCTGCTCCATAAATATTGATCTTCTCCAATCTGATCACAAAGTGCCAAATTTTCCTTCCCAAGTGATTAAGCTTTTCATCACCAGAGGGAGTAAAAAAAGTATCAGGGTCTCTATTAAGACCCAAGGAATTAGCCATTTGAATTAAAACGGCACTCGAGACTTCAGAGTCTCCTCCGTCAATAAGATCACCATGTTCTGGAGCATATACATGATATAATCTCATGAATAAGACTGCTTGAAATACCAAGATATTTGTTTTTCTAGCATATTCAAAACAGTCTACACATTGCTCCGCAACTTCGATAGCTACCAAGTTAATTGGATTATTAAGAATATATTTTGAAATTTTATCAACCCCTGGATCATCCGAATTCATTATATGTTCATTAACAACATTTCTATTTGAAAAATGGAACAAAAATGTCATTCTCATAATGATTAAAGCAATTGCAATGAGTGCTAAGTCTAACTTTTTTTCGATTTTAAGTTTCTCTATCGGCACATCGTCATAACTAACAGGACCCACTATCTTACTTAATTCGTCTTTAAAAGATTCATCTACCAAAGGCATGAAAATGTAAAGTTTCTCAAAAAATCTATCAATAAGGGACCATGTGAGCTTCCTGCTAGGCATAATTTTGGTGATCTTTTCAACCAAATCCATCTCCGTTGTGAACCTGCCTTCGAACAAGCTCCTCGTCATTGTGATATTGCTATAGTTAGATGTAAGCAGTTGGTTCAAATTGTTTTCTTTCATTGACTTAAATGGTACAACATCTGCAAATCCCTCGTTAACTAAAACCATCCTTTTAAAAGAATTCGCTGAGACATGCCCTCCTTTTTCTTCTACTTCCTCGGGAGAACTTAAAGCCACCTTAGCTATATGAAACATATCAGGAGAATTTGAAAAATAGCAAGGGGTCACTTTCGTGATTTGAAATGACCAGAGCAGCGATAACCAAGGATCCTTTCTCAAAATTGAAACCCAAGAAAGTGGGCCAAAATGAATTCTTCTTGAAGGGCATTTTAGAAATATTGAATCGTATCCCGCATAGAAATTGATCGTTTCGTCTGCTGGACCAATTGGATTCCTAAATGGTAAATAAGTATCATAAGTTTGATCTTGTATCGGATTCTCAAAAGAATGCGCGTTGCCACTTGTTGGCTCAACCGATTCGTGTCGTATAAACGATTCCAAATTATTAATTTTCAGCTTCAACGATTTTAGCTCATCCGATAGCTCATTTTCATCTTTCTTGATGTCATTACTTTGAACATTAATTTCATTATCCTCACTATTACTTCTTTGTGAAGCTGGATTCATCCATCTCAGATCATAAGAGCAGCTATTAGCCCTCTTTGCATGAATACAAGAGGAACAAGGCATCTGTCTGTCACATTTTGTCTTTCTTTTACGGCAATTCAAACAACTTAGCGTTGGCTTATTCCTCTTTTTAACTATCTTATGATCGACTTCGGGCATTATATCTCAACTTCTAATCGACACTAATGTATTACTTTGATTCTTTAATAGTCATCACTCTCCTTCTCTAATTAATCAACTGAGCTCAACTGTTTCAAGTCATATTATGACTGTTTCCTTATAGCGCATCTACTTGAGATTATTAATGCTAATATGCAGGTGGGGAAATAACGTCAAATTTATCGGAAATAAGCTCAACCCATCAATATGGATGAGTATACATTAATAAGCATACTATAGACAGAAAACTATTTAACGAAAATTATTGAATAAGTCATAATTGTTAACAGTACTCGAAAATCCATTTGACTTAGGTTCCTTAGACAAGATCGGACCAGCCAGATCCGTGTTTGAAGAACTATCAACAGTTGAGACGTTATCAAAGAACATCTCTCCATCATTCATCTTATCATATTTGAAGGAAAGTATGTCAAGCCAAACTTGATCGATTTCCGCATTAGTGTTAAAGTCAAGTCCAAAGTCGTTAGTAGGATCTTGCTGGGGCAACTTTTCTATGTCAGGTGTTTCTGATGGTCTAAACATCTGATTATTTTGCATTTTGAATGTATCTGTAGCACTAAAAGGCGTGGTATCAGTCTCATTACCGTCAAATGTATTTTTAGTGACATTGCTCTCAGGTTCTGGGCAGCCAGGACAAAAATCGTTCGCTATACTACCTACTTTTCCTAGCTTGCTAAGCGTAGCTTCACAAATATTAATGATCTCAAGTAGCTGTTCCAAAGAAAAGCGTGGAACGCAGAGGTCTTTAGCCACATCAAAATGTTTATCATAAAACTCTCTTGTAGTAATAATTTTCAAATGATGGGTATGGATCTTGGTAATCCTCCAGGCGTAATAATATCGGTTGCTAATCTTGGAGATTGCAGCAATTGAAACCTCCGCACATCTCGTAAGACAAGAAGATATATTGCATAATGTCTTATAGTATGTGCAGTAGTTCCTGTCATTTATACACATTGAATCATGATTCGGTTGATTCTTCATATAGTATATTATAAAATTCACTCTTATGATATGCGAAAGATGGACTTGATTACATTTGTGAAGCACAGCTTCTAGCGTTGGATTAATCATCATATCGAAAATGCTATTATCATTTGCCAATAGCTCGAAATAATAAGGCATAATATCTGTTGCTCCAATTGATATTACCTTCTTTAAGTAAAAGAAAGACAACAGGATGTTGTTCTCCTCGTAATATAGATAAAAATGAAAATATATCGCACTCAAGAATGATTTAATGGACATATAGACCTTTATTCTGAAACTTTTTTCAAACATACCAGTGACGTTTTCACATGGAAGCTTTAATGATTCTCCCAAATGGCCATAAAGTCTTTCTAACTCAAGTTCTAGGGTTGTTAGTAAGGTACAAAGATCGGCAACGGGTACACGAGCCTCAACAGAAAGACACATTCTTAGTATTGAACTCATTATTCCAATTATTCTATAGCACCCATTGAAAGTTTGAGTAACACCTTTGTCAAGAGTTTTGTCCTTTACATTTGCAGCTATATCTTCATAAAATGGGGGTTTGGTATCATAATAAGATCTGTCTATTGTCATTGGGTTTCCGTATTGATAGGCATTAAATAGATCATAATGCACTAAAGCAAACCATATTTTTCTTCCTAAATGATTGATCCTTGGGTTCGCGCATACTTCCGGATATTTCAGAGGTTCCCTATTGAGACCCAAAGAGTATGCCATTTGAACTAAAAGTGCATTAAAAACAGGCAAGTCGCCTCCATCTACACCATCACCATCCTCTGGGGCGTACGAATGATACATTCTCATGTAAAAAGCTAATTGTAAAACTGGAAAGCTTGTCTTCCGCAATAATTGAAACTGGTCTAGGCATTCTTGAGCAATATCAATTGTGTCAATGTTAACTGGGTTTAGCAAAAGATACTTGGTTGCCTTAGATTTCTCGCAAGGGTTTGGGATTTTTAAAATATTCTCATTGACAGAATTCTTATTGCTGAACAAAGAAAGGTATGACAATCTTAAGATGATCAAAAGTAACCCGATATAAGCCAAGTCTAGTTTCTTTTCTGCTTTTATCTTTTTCGTTTTCGTGTCATCCGTTGATAGCGGTCCTATTATACGGGTAATTTCTGATAGAAACATTTCCTCATCCACAAAAGGCATAAATGAATACAAAACGGTGAAATATCGTTTCAATAATTCACTTATAACCAACTTTTTAGGTAAAACCATTCTTACTTTATCAATCAAGCCTAATTCTCTATCAATTTTGCCGTCATAGTATGTCAATCCCAATTGTAGTGTATTTTGATTTAATTGAGATGCCTTGATCCCATTTTCAAGTTTAGCAGATACAATAGAACGGTATGGAATCGTATCTTCGAAACCTTCTCCTTCCAACATTTTTTTATGAAATGTTGTTTCTGTCTCTTTACTGTTAGAGAGTAGGACTTTCAATTTGTCATCGGCGACCATTTCATTATCACAATAATCCCACAACAACTGTAATCCTCTATCTCTCTTCATTAATCCTGCCCACGAAAATGGACCAAAATTCATTTTCCTGGATTCCGTAACGCAAAAAGGAACGTAATTTTCGTAGAAGTTAATAGTATCAGAAGGGCTGTCATACAAATTCAAGCCATTTAGGCTCCTCTTTTTGGGGTCTTCTGTGGAAGTTGTGCTTTTAGAAGTATCGCTCGAGCTCTCTGATGAAAAAAGGGAATTGGTTCTTGTATCATCGCTCGAAGAAAGACTTGATATCCGATCTCGAGGGGTACTATTGTTCAACGGTGTACTGTTGTTCGACTTATTCTTCGATGACCCTTCTACGTAAGGCGAAGTGTCAGACAGACTATTTACCTTATTCAATGGTTCAAAATTTCGAACTCTCGAATCTGGAGACTTACTATACCTCTTCATTGATGATTCAATTTGCTCGAGTCTATTCTTCAATCTTGAAAGCTCTGCCATAGAGAGTGACGTGTCATCAGGTTGATTCTTTCTTCTCTTGGACTTGGTTCTTCCTCTATCATTTACTTTGTCATCAAATGCAATGGGATTCTTTGCACTGGATACATATGGTAGAGAAAAATTCTGTTTTCCAGAAATACCTTCAGACCCAATTTGGTATCTGCAGCTATCTACCAAATTAGCCTTCTGACACTGGGAACAAGGTAATGCCTTGTCACATTTTATCTTCTTTCTTTTACAATTGTCACATACAAGACTCAGTCTTTTCCTTCGTTTTATTGCCTGAGAAGCAGTAGGAGTCATATATAAATTGAAATTTGTTTGAACCTGTGAGCTTAGATAACAAAAATGTTCAATTCTTGATATATATGAGGACTCTTCACCTTAAAGTGGCAGTATGAGTTCCGTATACAAATAGGAATGGATGGCAAAAAGGTAAGTTTACGAAGGACCTTGCGTCATTCTTATATGCCATCTCGGTAAAATATGACACAAAATGATAGCGAACATGGAGAAAGCGATTAACAAAGCTGGAGAATATTACGGAAGACTATTGATAGAGCCAACTGTATCGAGAGAATTGTTTCTTGATAGTTATATAGTTATATATGACTTTGGAATTTTTAAATTACAGTGCTGCTTTCTTAATTCATAAAATGAAAGAGCTTTTAATACTTTTAATACTTTTTATGTGAGGGTTCCATATTGCGGCTCATCGACCCTTCTAAGTAAGCTCAGCTCTTCTGATGAGTCTTCCTCGTCCCCTTCTTCATTGTATATGAAGAACTGGACAAAAATTGTAAAGTCCAAACCGAGAGTTCCAAGTGAACCTGCCAACCACGAGGAGTTGACCCATAAATATTGAAGACTTGTATCTATAGCCAAAATCGAAATGACATAAGTCAAATTACCCAAGCAGGCAAACAAAAAGAACATAAAAGAAATTCCTTCACAAGATTTTCTCTCAAAATTCAAGACAATCTGGGGGATTCTAGAACCAAGATAAAGGAAAGCGCACAACCAGCCGAAAAGCTGGGCTAAGGGGTCGTAAACTAACTTGTCTGGTTTGTGGTCTCCGCCTTTCTTTGAGTTATTCTTGTTCGAGACATACCAACCTACCAAACCAGCTAAAATCACCAATACAACCAAAAATGACTTAAACAAAGCGTTTTTAATTGCCGAGCTTGTCGTTGAAGATGATTTGGTAAAATCATAATCGCCAAGTTCACTGTTACCTCCTTCTAGGTCTGCTTCTTCTCTTCTTTCTTCCTCTAAGTCCTCGTCAGTAACTCTCCCACGACCGTCACTTGACAAAACTGTTTCTAAAACATCTTCACTCATTGGGTTTGCTGGTGACAAGTGAATTAAATCGGTCTTCTCTCCATTTCCATATAACAAGCATTGACCTAATAATACTATGTCTGCCAAGGTATAATAGATTGCTAGTATAATCATAGTTGGCAATACTCCCTGTAATATGGATCCTAATACGTTGAAAAGGTCTCCTAACAACCACAATATAATGAACAGAAGCGATAAACCTTCAGATGACTTTCTTCTAAAGTTCTCATATATCTGTGGAGCAAAGACAATAATCCAGCATGCCAAAGAAATGGATCCTGTAATTCCACTGACAGCTTGTGAATCGATCACTATAGGTGGAGGCGGTGCCATTATATTATTCACTCCACTATTTTACTGTATATTTTCTTATATACATGGAAGTAAGTTATCTTCGACCTCGATAGTCCAAAAATTTTCAGTATAGGAAGACTTCATATAAACTATTTTCACTCAGAAGACATTAAACGGGATATTTTTAACTATGTATTAGCTACACGGTCAGAGAGTGCTACTAACGTAGTGGTTTCTGTAAGACGTCTTTTAAATGCTCTATAATATGATTTGAAAGCTCGAAGTATAGCGATTGTAAAATGCATGTAAGAAATGATAAATTGCAACCACTGGCAATTGAATAACGATGACCTCAGGGGCTTTGCCAGTTGGCTACTTCTTAAGCCTCTAATAGACTCAAGCATTAGCTTTGTAAGTACCCGAGGGCGTGAAAGCTACCTTCAATGTGAGCTGGTTTCTTGACAGTTAAATGACTGATAGGTAATTGAAACATGGAATAATTGCTCAATTTCGTGAAATTTGGGTCCCCGATATCGATGAGGGTACCATGTGCCACTGAATTCTGATAGCTAACTCAGAAAGTTTGGGGGATCTCTTCGACGACTTTTCTGATACTAGTGGCTATGAATATGTATATGTTCTCCAATGCAGCAATATTTCTTGTGTTTGTGTGAAAGAGAGATACATCTCGTCTATAGCTTCAGTTTATCTTCTTGCTCTATCTAGACATTTATTCGTATGTTGTGCAAACCGTCCTCCAGCAATCTTTCTACCACAGTTTTCACACTGCAAGTATTTCGATGTTTCTGCTGCCTTCAACTTCTCTTTATCTTGTCCATAGATATCCTTATTTGACCCCACAGTTGTGTTTAATATAACGCTTTTAACTTGATCCGTACCCAAAGTTTCTCTTATCGACTGATGCCTTGCAACATTATTCAATATCTGTTGCCTTATCAAATTATTGATCATGTCTTGAAAAAGTGATTCAGCCTAATTGAAAGTTAGTTGAAAAGAAGTTGCAAAAAGTCTAAGTCACCTAGATAGTTTACTTACAAGAACTTGATAAGTGAACACTTGATCTTTCATATTAATCGTCACCTTTTACTATTGACTTATCGTCTTTAACTATTGAAATATTTTTCATAGATATCAAGGTCGCATGCCAAAAAAAGATTTAAAATGAAGTCAAGAACGATATTATTTGCACATTATGATGCAATCTGACGACCACCAGGAGGAGAAATGGGGCTCTAATGATTATGATATGGAAGATGAGGTCCAAGATTGGAAGCATCTAAGTAACATGATGGACAAGGGCCAGAGTCTACCTAAACGAGGTGAGAAAGACTTTGAGCCAGATGGAACTGATGTTCAGGCAAACCTTTTAGAGGAGTCTCGTAACTCGATGTATTCTGTTTTAGATGAGCAACGATGTCACCATGCTAAGCAGAAATTGATATCTGTGTGGATACCACTCGAAAGTAGAAGCATTGTACCACAAGTGAAGGGTAACTTTTTCAGAGATATCGGTGAGCCACTGAGGCTATCCCATAAGAATATGAATGGAGTCTATTTGAACCCTATAGAGACTGTCTATTTAGTCGAGAGAGGATCTATGTCTATATATTTAGGAGATGAGCTATTTGATGAATTCTTAAAGAACGATAGCAGTGATTTTAATTACGAGACTTTGAAGCCACTTTCATTGAGCCATTTATACAGTTTGGCATTTGATAGAAATCCAGAATGGATGGATCATCTACATGTCTTTTCCTACTTGAAAAGGCATGGATACTTAGTACGTGATTTCAAGCGGTTGAATGAATCTTCTCAAGCAGATAGATACAGAGCTATGACTCAAGTGAAGTCTTTAGCATTTATTTCAAGTTTATTTAAAGGAACTCTCTATTACTTCCAAAATAAGTGCTTTAGATTTCTTCTAAATGGCTTGAGGAAGTTTGGAATCCTTTCTCAAGGAACCAGTCATCATCTTCATTATACTACTAAGCATTACTTCAATTATACTTCAGTATTTGAGTCTTTAAGGATGGTCACCAGCTATTCAACATACGATAGTTTATCTAGTGGTCAAAAAAAGAAAGAACATGAATATAACATAGCATATAATGTCTGGAAGCCGACCCCAAAGTTTTCCAAAAAAGATCCTCCTATGCCAGATTTCCAAATATGCATTGTCAATACGGACAAGGTCTCATTCCCAACGTTGGAAACAATACAAGCACTATTTAATGAAATAAACCACTTGTTGCCGTACGAAAAGATGCCTGAAAAGGATTCGTTCGTAAAGAAGAAGAAGAAAAAGGTAACAGATCTCCCAACGAGAAAAGAGATCAGATTTCAAAAGAGACAGGACTACCAGAAGAAACTAGATCCGAAAGTCCAGAAGCGAAATACTTATTTAAAGCTAAGGGACCAAAAGCTTAGAAATGGCGTGTCTGGTAGATCTTTTGTTATTGCAACTATAAGCAACGGTGTTTTGAATTTCACCCACTTATGTGAAGCCGATTTTACGCTTAGAGGAGCCCAAGTTGATGATTTAAATGAAATGTATAATAAAAAAGAGCATGGACTCATCTGGTTAGAAAATGTTTAAGGAGGCTAGCTCCTTACTACAATGATTCAGCATATTTGTTTGGCATAAATGCACATATATATTCGTTCAAACCCTATTGGTAGTACACATGAATAAGTATAATAATAAAACCTAATGCAAAGGAACCAAGTTTGATGTTTTAACTCGTTTGGTCTTCAGAGTTGTTCTTGGAATTTCTTGTTAAAATTTTCTTGGTGGGTTCTCCTGGTATATTTTCTGTAGAACTTTTAGCTTCAGAGACCCCTTTTCCATCCTGGTTCTGCTTTCCTCGTGCCCGGACTTTCTTCTCTGCAGCAGTCTTTCTTTTTTGCCTGCGTTTTGGATTCTTTTCTTTCTCGGCTCCGAGCTTAATACTTGCATTGACACTGGCGTCCAGATCTTGAGGACCTTGGGGCTTTTCAGCTTTTTCAGCTCCCCGTTTCTTTCTATTTCTTTTACGCTTTCTTTCTTTCTCTGTGCCTTTAGACTCAGATACCAGCTGAGTTTTGGATTCGGGTTTTTCAAGATTATCAGCAACCTTAATCTTGTCCTTTTTCTTTTTCCCTTCTTTCTTCGACTCCTTCTCACCAGCACCTTTTTTCTTAGTTTCCTTGTTCCCTTTTTTGGCCCCTCTTCGCTTCCTTTCTAATATTTGACTTATACTGAAGTCGTCCACCTTGTCTTCTTCAAAAAGCCGCAAGAACTCTTGATAAAGGTCGTCTTTCTCCAACGATTCCTTGCCTTTTTTCTTCAGACCAGAATTGTTAGGCATTCTATCATATAGAGCTCTTCCAATTGCTGGTACTGTATTGGTGCTATTCAATGATCCAAAGGGCTTTCCACGTACCTGATTAGAGAAAGCATTGTAAGCCTCTTCGTTTTCTAGTAATATGTATGCTCTAGAGTAGATTGGTTTGTTGTATATGCCTTGAGAAGCACTTCCTTGAACATAATATTTGCTGACAATCTTTAAGCTAGGATCTTTGTAGGAAGCGATATGTTCATCAAATTGTTCTTCGCTAAGGTCCTGAGGAAGATGGCGAAAAGCTAACTTGAAGTTCTTGTTACCCTCTCTGTCAGACTTTGAGCTTTTCTGCCTATTCTTACGTCTTCTTGATGTCTTCGAAGCAGGAAGAAGTGACATGCCTTTCTTATCGTGTTTCTTCTATGAAAACAACTTGAAGCATTAAAAATATGGAAATATAGTGAAGAAGAGTATAAGAAAAAAATGAAAATAAAAAAAAAATAAAATTATAATCCGAGCGATATCATCAACATAATTCCCAGCAGACTGACACTATCGAATGGATGTTCTTGAAGAATATTTGGATCGATTATCACGATGTGGTGGTCTCTCATCTAATCAACAGGCTGTTGAGCTTTTGGCCTTATTAAATTTGGATCCTCAAACAAATCCTTATATAGTGAAGATAAACAGTCTACCTTTTAAACGAGAGAAACAGATACATGAAATGATTGACTCAAAACATTTATATAACGATGACTGGCTAGCATTTAATGAAGTGGTATTTAGCTTCATCAAATTGAGCAATCAATTGAATCCCTGGTCTGTCTTAGAATCTTTTGACTTGTATACGCTGTTTCTCAATGATGTCTCAGTAGCATTTAGTAATTATAATCGTGGACAAGTTTTGAGCTACTTAGTGAAAAGTACAATCAATATTATTATCCCAATGGCAGTTAAGCTTGATCATCAATTATACTATAAAGACAATTGCGCAAGACCACGGCTAGCATATTTGGCATCCATTTTGTTGAAAATTTTTAACAATATTAGATCACAATTAGGAGATACTAATGATAACCCTTTGAAAAAATCTATTATTTTATTTGTGGGAGGTAAGCTTTGCTCGATATACTTTCGCTTGTCAAATCCATTGCTCTGCAGAAATATATTTTCCAACATGAACAATGCTAACTTATCATTTACAAGTTTTGAGATTAATGAGCAAATCCGCTACCGCTATTATTTAGCAAGGTTCTATATGATGAAGGATCAGCTCGTAGATGCCTACCAGAATTTTACTTGGTGTTTATTGCGTTGTCCTTTTCTTCAAAATAATAGAAACATTACCAACATTTTAAGGTATCTTTTACCTATCAGCATTGTCATTGGAAAGAGACCAAACTTCGCTTACTTGAGAACCACATATTACACAGACGAACCAGAATTCTTTGGAATTTACAGTCTTCTCTACAATTATATTCGCGTGGGAAACATCGCTGGATACAACGCCACTGTTGTAAGTAATTACAAGTACCTCAAACAGTACGATTTGTTACTTCTTGTGGCTTCGAAGGCTAAGGTGGTTCTCCTTCGTAATCTACTCAAAAACATCTGGAAATCCACTGGCCGTCCACTGAAACTTGAATACGATACAATTAGACATGGTCTTCAATTCGCTCTCGGACCCGACCGTCCTCATTTAGATTACTTAACGTTACTATGTAACGTTGAAGACGACTCCACCATCGAGAACGTCTTGATATGCCTCATTGATCAAAACCTACTTCGAGGTAAGATCTTCTCGCGACTCCGAGCAATAGCTCTAAGCAAGTCAAATGTATTTGCTCGCCTTGAAACTATCAATTTCACTAGGTTTGGCCACGGAATAGAGGGCACAATGAGCACTAGCGATAGATGGATGTCGTGATTTTAAGCATTGAGTAGACAGGATGGATTCTTCGTCCCTCTTTCTCTACTTCTTCTTCTCTCATATAGCATTTAATACAACACGTTCGTTCAGTCTCATTATTTGTAAATATTCGCCTGGCTACCTTCGCAGCCAAAGTCAAAACACAAATATCTTCCCCACACTACAAGGACGACTTGCCACGAAGGTGCGGCGTCCATCCACCTATTGTGGTCGCTTCCAAAGACTCTTAACGGGTGACCTTCGCGAATCTGGACATATATTATGTGCACCTCCCCGTTAGACCGTACTCCCTTCTCGCTAAGTTTTGCTGGATCCTCCTTAGCGCTTTCCTATTGCCGTTCAAGCGCCGCAGTGGAGCCTATTTTGTTGCAAATTCTGTGACCAAAGCAATTGTCAATTTTCTTGATTCTATTATGAGTAAGGGATACATTAACGTATGCTTACTTTCGGCCCGTTTTAGCATGGATCGTTCTAGTCTTGCTCTATTATTACCATAGCTATGTTATAGACATTCTGGGCACAAAGGGTTCAATTCAAACGTGGCGTAAAGTTTTGCAACACAGTTTTGTTTATATAAAAGACTTGAATCTACTTTAGATAATCAGATCTAGTATTATTGATAAAAAAGAAAAGGTTTTTACTGTAAGAGGCTGGCAGATACTAGCAACTGTCTTAAGTGTTCAATAGATCAATTCAAAACTGACTCCGTGCGTGATATCATATCTCAACTTCAGCACATAAACATAGTTGACGTTAAAATGACATTACTATTGTTACCCTATGAAGTGATCGAGCAAGTGATGGGCATCTGCCTTCAGCAAGAGATAGTACTGCTCTCTTATTGTTGTAAGGAGCTTCATAAAATGGCGAACAAGCGATTGTACTCTAACATAATGGTGATGGATTCAAGAGTGGATGCCAAGGACTACTCAGTGTTGGATGTGGAACAATTAGACAGGTTTGTGACCAACCTTTCAGGAGACAATTTTAGTCTCATGAATAAACTCGTTATTCACTCTCAATCAAATATGGTGAGCTACGATTACTATCCGTTGTACAAGAAGCTCATGGTGTTGTGGGAGAGCCACAGCCATGAGATCTATTTCGTCAATTTTGACATTGGAAACATAAGAAACTTTAAATCGCTCAATCAATTTGTAATGGGAAATTCTATGACGTACTTGGAGGACGAAGATAACTTCGAAGTACATTCGGTATACAGTAACAAAGTCCGTCATTTAAAGAATTGGATTGTGTTTAATATTGACGAGCTTGTGGGCTTGCCCTTTAACGAGAATCTAAAAGATTTGGACCTCTATATCGAGCATCAAAATTTCCATAATGTTACAGAGAAATTAAATCATGATATACTAAACAATCTAAGCAACCTCAATGGGTTGTTTTTAGATTCCCCAGCATCTACAACTGAGTTCATTAATGTTTTCAAGGGAAAGCTTAGATTGCATAATCTTAAAAAGTTATCAATTAGCGCTTCCCACAATATTAGAGATAATTCAATGCTTTCATTTGGCTCAGTCAATGAAGTTATCAATTTTGATAAAATATCGGAATTCGAACTCAAAATTAATTGCATCCACGAAAACTGTAATTGCATTCAGCAGTTTTTCAACGATTGGATAACCCGATCAGATGATCTCATCTACGTCAAAAGGCTTGCGTTAGTCAACTATAATTCAGAAATTTTACCTCAAAATCTCTTGCAATTCAAGAACTGTCTTGAAGAGGAGTTGATCTCCGGAAGCATATGCGCTGAGGAACTTTATTTAAATTTTAGTGATCTTATTAGACTCGAGGATGGTTGTTTTAGCATGGATGATTTATGGAGTAAGCTCTCGAATGTGCGTGGTCTTAAGAAGCTCATTATACCTGATTTTTTTTACACCTGGATCAAGTCTGCAGCACATTTGTTCGAGACTGATAACGCTACTCCTTTTGACGTTTTGGTCAACCAGTGTTCTTGTGAGCTGTGCTCTAAGACTAGAGGATCTTTCATGAAGAATTCAAAAAAGCCATTCTTTGACTATCAAACCTTCCTGAACTTTGAATCTAACCCACAGGTCAAGTATGTCCCAGAAAACAAAGAAAACCTAAAGCTTTTGTATAACCTTGCTTATGGGCTAAAGACGCAATTCCGTTATCTTAATCAAACATTGTTCTCCGTCAATTCCTTCTTGAACTTGGATGACAAGCCCGTTATCGACAATCCAAAACTACTACCTTTTAAAAAGCTTTTGCTTCACAGTTGCATACACCGTCTTGCAAATTCACTAAAACATGATATTCCCACTCTAAGACTTCTTAATTTAGGAGGTATAACAGTAGAGTTCTGAAATATCTTTTGCATCTAAGTTTTAATATAGAATGGGTAAATAATAAATGCTAACAGGTATACACTTTACACTCTGCACTTGCGCTTGCACTCTGAATTGGCACTAATTATAAGTAACTTGAAGATACCAGCTAGAAATCTCTCTTTACTTGCTGATCGGGCCTCTCTCCTTATATTATGGGCGCAAATCTCTTTCGCGATTATCGGTGAAATAGGGCTTTATCGCACTGAGTCTATATGAAAGAAATATTTTCTTTGAAATTTATCTTATATTCTAACTATGGTGAACGTCTCAGAGTCTAAAAAAGAGAGATTGGATCAAATAAGTACTCAACTTTGGCAAGCTGGGTTCACTGGTATGCTAAAAGGCACATTGATAGGCTTGGTTACTGGATATTATTTTAGCTACAAGTATAATCGTGGTCCAAATACTAGGTTCTTCAAGACACCTTACAAGTTTTGGTATTTGATTTGTTGGAATGTTGTCGGAATAATATTCGAAACGGACGTTTCAAAGGCTAAAATCAGTAAACAAATAGCATTAGAAGAGGATTTAAAAAGGAATGCATATTTTCGGGATGAATGGAATCGTGAAGTATCAAGCAAGAAAACTCCTAGCACGCCTGATGACCATCAATGAATTATGAAATGTATATTTACGACTGAATAAATGCAAAACATACAAATGAAACCTCTTTATGGAAGTTTGATGTCCTCTTCTTGCCTAAACTTTATTTCGAAGTTGTCACCATAAATAAAACTTTTGAAATTATGTCAACTAAATGCCTCTCTCTACAACCTCTTGTAACCCAACCGCCCTTCTACGTTGATAAGGATTTTCTTTACAAGCACATTTAACTCCGCAACGGAATACCCTAAAGCATCGAGTTACTTGAGCTATGATCTGTGAATTACAGGCTGATCAGCTGACAAGTTTATCGAATCCATTAAGTGCTGCAAATGTGATATAATCATAACAAAGCACAAATATTACGATATATAAAGGAAAGTGGAAGCCCTGTCTTACTAGGGAATAAAGTAGACGGGATTTAAGAGTCGAGTGGCATCTTTTACTATACTTAGTTCTTACATAAGTACGCTTAGCTAAATTATCTGAGGAAACGTGCAAGCAAAACAAAAAGATTTATTTCAAAGTTAACTTGATAAGTAAGAACAAACATATATCATTTTAATGCCATGTATGTACTTCTCAGGGGAAGAAAGCAAGGAAATCGCTTTCGACGATCCTGCTAGGGAGTGCATCAAGATAAAACCAGCACTTTTTACAAAGGTACAGAACGATAATGAGCAAAATGCCCGAGTCTTATTAGACACTCATTTATTAAGGATTCGTAGTTATATACCAGAAGATGAACTATCTCTGGAGAAAATAGAAAGAATAGTACCCAAGAGTGATGCGTCAGTATCGGTTGAAACAAGAGCATCCATACCGCTCCTTAACTTCGTAACTAATCTAATGACTACAGCAGACTTCAAGGAGATGAATTCTGATGAATTCAAAACTAGCTACCTCGCTCCACTTGATAATGCTCTTAAGGGTTCCGATATCAAAGCTCCATTGTTATCAATGACGTATAGATATCCATTCGGCGATGCTACAAATGCGGAAGATGTTATCCAGCGATATTTTGATGGGAAGATTGCTGACTCAATCAACGAACTTTATCATGACATTTGTGATAGGAACCATTATTTTGGGAGGACATCTATTTTGAGACCTCCTTTAGATAGAAGACGCATAATAAAGCCGGATATGGCTCATCTT